GTATGAGACAGGACACTTTTAGAAGGAAAAGGCAGGGTATGAAAAGCGGTACCCACTGAAATCCCATCCTCTATACAACCATTACAAGGCTTCCCCATGATCTGTAGGCCTTCCATGTGATGAAAAACATAGTGTTAGTTTGTAGCTCCTTCTGAGTTGCAGCTGGAGTGGTATATGTTGGTATGTATGTGCCAGGGAACAGAATCAAGCCATTGAAATGAAGGCAAGCCATGTTGTGCCTTGAAATATAGTCCAACTACATTTGTAACCTGACAGAGAAGTTCTGTTTCACATTGGCAATGGAGGAAATGCTACAGGTTTCTGATGTCAGGAGCCACTCCACAGGATAGCAGCAGCCTGTTGCTGCATTTCGAGTTCATGTATCAGTTCCCAGAAGAAATTGACAGGTAGGCCTCTGGCACTGCCAGACGGATGGGATGAAAGTAAAAAAAGGAAAGGATAAAACAATGTGGTATGACACTTACTTTCTTCCCCAGTCTGATAGTTCCTTCACTGACATTTAATAAGAGTGTGGAGTCACCCCACCACTCAATTCCTCTTAAATATTAGCTTTCATTCACCTGTGCCTGCCTGGTTGCCTTGGTAATTCTTGTTGCTTAGTAACAAGAACTAGGGCAGGGGATTGCCCTATTGTCTCTCATATATTTCTAAAGAAATAGTTTTCCACTGGATTTTTAAAAAAATATATATTCTTTTTTGCATCATTAAAAATACAGGGTGGTATTCAATGCTAGACTTACTCAGAGGAGACTCATTAAAGTTAATAAACATGACTGACTTAGGCACATTACTTTCACCATGTCTGCTCTGAGGTCTTAGTTGACTACAACCACAGGCACACATTCCACTTGTCATTGGCTTGTGATATTGTAAACATCCTCGACTTGTGAGTAGCCTGTAACCACTGTGTGAAAGGATCCTCCAGTCGATGACCCTTCAGTCTGATTGCGAGGCTCTTCTTCCATTCCTAAGCATGCAGCTAAGCTGCCTACTGGGTTTGTTTTGATGTCTGAACCTGATCATAAAACACATTCTGTTGAAAACTTTATGCTAAAAGCTATGATGATAGTAAGGGTGATTCAGATTCGGTGTGGTGGCTTAGGAAAAACAACTTCCATACTTAACAGGTCCTTTAGTCTCTCAGTCCACAAGATGAGTGCCATTGAGAACAGAGCATCACTGGCAGGAAATTTCTGTGCTTAATGTGGCTCAGGCAGGAGACGTGGGTGAAGAGTGGCTGGATGGCATCTTCAGTTAACTAAAAGGCAGGATTGAAACAAATCTGTAATTTTCAGATAACACAGCCACATGTGTATAGTCCATGCAAAATAAAAAGTGTTGGTATAAAAACAATCAGTAGTTACATTTCAGTCTTTTGTGTTTGTGTTAATTCTGTAAAAGTGTGACTTTGAAACTGAATGTAGCAAACCATAAGAATGAAAATGCAAGTGCCAACTGGGGAAAGCAAAGCTGGGGAATGGGCAGAATTCATACGATAGCCATGCATGCATACAACATGGATTTAGAGCAAACCTAATACAGCAAGCTGAAAAAAGGGCCTACAGTATGAGGCCATGTGGTTAGTTTATAGAGGGCAGTCCTCTGTTTGAATGGATGTCCAATCCAAGTTCAGTTTAAAGATAAAGAACACAAAGAAGGAAAAGAAAGTGCCTTGAAGATTCCCTCAACAGTTAGCACCTGGTCAGTAGAGTAAGCAGGCACACCAGACACCTTATCAGGTTCTTCCTCACTGTGGTGAGAAATACTGTATTTCTATTTAAATTATAGCCACTAGCTCAAAATTTGCAGCTATACATATAAATTAGCATATACCAATGAGATTCAATTGTCTTCTTCTTCTTCTTCTTCTTCTTCTTCTTCTTCTTCTTCTTCTTCTTCTTCTTCTTCTTCTGGTGCACAAGTGATCACCCTAACAGCATGGCATTTGAAAAGAAAGTGTGTTTCTGTGTCAGTATAATCCTTAGGAGGAACAACATTATAGGGGGAGGGAAATGGAGGGAAGGCTAGGATATTCATTTATTTGGCAAGTCCTTTATCAACTGCAGTCTAACATACAAGCTGCAGGTTTTTCTGCACATAGCTCAAACAAAAAGGCAAGAAATACGGGAGCATGCATGCATGCTTTTTGGCATCTTGGGAATTTTTTAAAAGCTATCTAGGTGTCTCAGCTGCAGAAATATAAAGGAATTGCCATGACAACATTAAAAAAGCAAAAGAAGCCCAAATTTACCGATTTCCAGTTCCCACATTAATGCACACAATGGGTTTTTCAAAGGCCAACTCATCTCAAAAGAATTTGAAGTTAACCCTTTCAGATTATGCTGATACATCCAGCAACTGCCTTTTGGCACATACCAGGTTGAATATATACTGTATATGAATGAATCTGGCATATACTTCTGGGACTTCAGGCTAAGACAGGAAAAGATGTGGAAATTTAACTGATTTCAATGAAATATTAAGTTGTGCTCCTTTTGGCTTTGTGACCCATCCCAAAGCTCCACAGAGAGCAAATTACCAAGCTAAACAGATACAGAAAAATACAAATGGCATGTGGGATCTCAGACTACTTTGTGAACAGTCTTTTAGTGTGCATCCTTGTGAAATATATGTCCTCCTCCTGACTTGCAACTGAGATGCATACAGTGGTACCTCGAGTTAAGAACTTAATTCATTCTGGAGGTCCGTTCTTAACCTGAAACTGTTCTTAACCTGAAGCACCACTTTAGCTAATGGGGCCTCCTGCTGCTGCCGCACCGCTGCAGCGTGATTTCTGTTCTCATCCTGAAGCAAAGTTCTTAACCCGAGGTACTATTTCTGGGTTAGCGGAGTCTGTAACCGGAACTGTCTGTAACCTGACGCGTCTGTAACCTGAGATACCACTGTAATGGCAAGGAATTTGTCAGAAATGATTAGCAACAGACGTGAGAATGAAATATTCAGATACTATACACACCATCTGATTTAGACTACCATGCTACTGTAAGAAGGTAAGTGCATGCACATTTTGCTATTAGCAGACATAGTGCATAACACTGATATTCCAGAATGTATATATTTTCATATATAAAATGTAGTGCTTATTGAACCTTATTTTACCTAGTATCTCAGGGCTGCATCTCACGGTACTTTTGAAAGACATGACAGCACTATCAGGACTTCCGTGAGTGTAGGACGATGGGAGCTTTCAAGTTACACAGAATTCACCATGAGGAGGAATGGAAAGGTAGCTAATTCTAAGATATTTAGAGGGCAAAATTGGTTACAAATGCAAGGAAGGCAATCCAAAAAAGCGCTAAGATCACTTTGACACATTTAACTACCCCTAACTCAATAGCATTAGTTGCTCTTTTTGCATTACAAGGCCTTAATGACACCTGAGATTTGTGGCTCTAGAAAGATGCATTTGTTTTCTTGCTGAACATTTTTCATGCATCTTGCTTTTTTTTAAAAAAAATGCTTCCTTGATAAGCCCCTTCAACAAGATTTGTAACCCATTTTCTGTTTATATAAATATATATTTATGTTTATATAAAATTATGATTTTTTTAAAAAATCATTCAGCATGACTTGGTTAACATCACCTTTAATTTCATATTTTATTTGCTTTAGTTTTTTTAATAAGAACATTAATACCTAAAGAAGATTTCTGTGTAAGTTGAAAGCTTGCATCCAGATCTGTAGCACTGGCTGATCCAATAAAGTATATTACTTAGTTTGCTCTTTGTTTTTTCTTCTGTTGCTCCAACACTGCTACTAATGGCTGCAATCTTAAATGCATTGATTAGTACACATCAAATTTAATGGTACTTGCTTCTAATAGTTAGGATTGTGCTGTAAGACTCTTGGTGGATGCAGTTGACCATTTACCACACACTGGCAACTTGTCAGTAAAGTATGCAGGAAGCTTCTATTATATAGCATCTGGTCATAATGGACGGTGAGTTTTTAAAACTGGACTTAGCACGTGCACACCTGAACACTGCTGACCTGCTAGTCATATGAAGGAATGCACCCTGCATTAAGTTTACGTGAGTCACCACATGCTAAGTGGTTTTCTGAATCTGTGCTTAGTTCAGAGGGAGAGAATAGCCTAATGATCACACACAAACATTTCCATTTCAAAAGCACATGAATTACTGACCAGCTAGGAATTGCAATAGCCAAGAACCTCTGTGCAACATCTCCTTTTTATTCAAACACATGTCAAGAGCCCAGCACCATAATTTCATTACAGGCCACATGAGGTGCACATGCAGAAAGTTCCAGTTCTCCATGTGTACATGCAGAAATGCCACCACTAGGATGTTCACCCAAAAGGATCTTAAGTAGTAAGTTCTGGAGATCATCAGCCCCAAACCCTGAAAGGCCACTGCCGGTCAGAGCAATGTAGACAGACCTGCACTAGATGGAAAAGCTCTGTGACTTAGCTTCACATGCTGATATGAATTAATAGCCGTTACTTCCCACGCATGGCTTTTAAAGGGCTGGGAAGTCAAAGCAGGAGTGAAAATGATAGGATAAATGCTCTTCCACAAGGGATTCACTGGTCTCTGTAAATGTATTGTATTTCATTAGGCACCATCCTGAAGTGTTCCACTGCTGTGGAATTAAAGAGTAACAACAACCACATGGTATTTTCTTACCTTGGAAAAGAGAATAGATAAACTCATGGAGGGTAAGCCTGGATAACTAAATGGATATTCAAGCACAGTTGCTGGGGAACAAGTAGAGAGTTCCTGCTTCCACATCCTTCTTCAGGGTTCCTGGAAGTATTCTGCTGGACCCTGTGGGCTGAGTGCTTTTCTCACGTACTTCGGTACCTAATGTGTGTTTCCATCTCCATCATCTCTCCTTTGAGTTTTAAGAATCTTAATGTTTGATCATTCCCCAATGGGCGCTCGAATTCCTTTCAGATTGCTTGCTGGTCTACAAGCATAACCTGTCCTTTGTTTCAGGATTATCATCACGCTGCCAGAATTGGCCATGTAAGTTCCCTGCCTCATCCAAGATCTCATGGCCGGTATGTGGATGAGAACCCAGTAGTCCACTTCTTCAGGAACATTGTAAGTTTCCATTTCACCTTGGTAATTCTTTCACCAAACAAAAATGCTTACGGTACTTTGCTTTTTAAAACATACACACCAGCTAGCTAGTGCCCCAAAGATAATTTCTCTGCTAAAAGGGAGTGCAGACAAAATTATATCTAGTGTGCCAGGTAAGGGGATGGGCACTGGAAGTCACTCTCCTGATCCACAGCTCTGTATGCATTTCTATGGGCTCACAGATTTCCTTCACCTGGAGCCTGTCAGTATTTTGCTGCCTGAGGCACAGGACAAGGTGGTGGCCCCCCTCCCAATTCTACCAACAGAAGTCATTCAGATTAGGAACTGAATCAACACTGGCAACAGGACTGTAGCATCGGGTGGCAGCAGGCTAGCTTGAAGGTTACAGGGCAAGCCATGTGACAGCTCTCCTCTTATGGCACTTTCCCACCACACCCAAGCATATGTCACTTGAGGTAACTGCCTCAGCCTGCCTAATGGTAGAGCCAGCCTTGCCTGCCATACTCTATAGACTCAAGGCAATGTGAGGCAGTAGCACCTTCTCCTGAACTGAAGATGAACAGCTGGTTCTTTTTGAAGGGGAGAGACCATTTATGAGAATTGGCTGTTCCTGCAACAAATCACTATGTTGGAGCAAGTCACATGCCCAAACAAACTTAACTGTGTGCAGATCCAGCTTATTACCAGTCTGAGGGCTATTGAAAGGCAAAAGACAGTCTTCCAAGGCAGAAAAGGGTTTTCCTCAGTTTTGAAACTGGAATTTTTCCATTCTAACATGGAAATCTTTGGAAAAATCCAATACTGTAATCCGGACTTGCTCGCTCCCTTCTTTCAAATAGAAACGAAAATGGATAGAAATATTCTGTGTCAGTGCCAATACCAATGAGACAAATGTTGCTGACATGAATATTTATAGAAATTACCTCAATCTTGAGTTGTGGCTCACTTCCTGTGGAGCCTTCAGAGCCATGGATCTGGGACACAACTCCTGCATAAACCACTGAGCTATAACAAATATATGGATTTTTACCAGAGACTAATAAGCACTGAGGAGCAGGAAGTCCCTTGCTTCTCATGTGGTATTTAATATATGGTGGTTTTGTTATGAAGAGGTTTTCCCTACCTTTTCCCTTGATGTCTAGAACATTTTCACCTTGTAGAAATTTGCAAATCCCTCAGACTCACTCTTATTAGCCTAGCTCAGCAGCCACATAAGCAGAGGGCTTATCTGAAAGTTTTATTTTAATAATAAGCTAATTCCCACCCTGAGCCTCTGAAAAAAGGGGATAGAAATTCAAATCAAGGAAGAGGTTATAGGAGCAAACATATATTGCATATTTGATTTAGGTTTCAATCCTAACCCTACTTACCTGGGAGCAAGCCACATTGAATTCAATAGGACTTACTTCTGAGTAGGATGGCAGGATCTGTCAGTTTTGGTTCTCTCTCATTTTTCAAATCTTAAATTCAGTTCTCTGGGTTTCTGTAGCAATCATCAAACTAAAATCATGAAACTTCACCAATATTTTGCTGCCAATTTCTCCTAATAAACACAGTTTTTGTGTGCAGTTTTGACTAATGTACACATTTTTGCAAGAAATTTTCCCTAACTCAATGCATTATAAATGCATTTGTATATACACTTTCCCATAATATATGCATCTTTGTAAATATTGGTTGGTTAGAGAACTACATTGCAAAGTTCTGGTAAGTGCAAACTTCATAGGATGGCTATGTTTGTCATATTGTTTTGTAAAATGTTAATTTGATGGATTTGCCTTTAAATGCAAACTGAACAGTCTGTGTGCGCAATAGATAACAAGTGTACACAGAAACTTGTTCAATGTAACATGTGAACAAGCCTCTTCTTTTTAACAACCACATGTTGAGCATACAGGGAGCCCAACATGGGAGCGCCTCCTCACATGTAGGGACCCCATGCCATCTCAACACCAACACAACCAACTCTCTCTATCCCATTGAGCACATACATAGGCTTACACATTGGTGACTCTATGCAGACAGCAATGCTCAACACGTGATTCCTTTTTAAAAAAAAAAAAAAGAGAGAGAGAGACCTTGCTTCAGAGCAGAGCTGAAGGTGTGGCACTACTCAAGATCGCGCTACACACAAGTAACAAATGCATGAAAGTGTATTGAAAGTGTCTCATGTGGCTTGTTACACTTCACATTACTTGAGAGACAGAAAAATGTAGGGCTGTTGCTTTCTGCAGTAGCTACACAGCTCTCAAAATATCCAGTTCCTTCCTAAGAATCTAATGAATCTGGGTGCAAAGCTGAGGTCCACCATGAATTCATTGGTTGGACCAGAGTGAGAATAACAGCAACTAGCTTTGCAATGTTGCTGGAATTAAGAATGAGGCTTGTAATTAAAGTGGCAGATCAAGAGTGTTGTCTAATGAAGGTCGTGCAACTGGTCCTCTTTCGCATTGCTCATTTACATTCTGAGGAATCTTAATAGGGTTTGTGGGTTTGAAGGACAAGAGTCAATTCTTATCGAACAGCACAGGAGTCTTTCTCAAATATCTTCACATAGCGAGCAGCCAAGAAGCATTTTTAGCACAGCATCAGGCAGACAAGGTGCTAAGAGTGAACTCAACCCTTTTGCTGGCAAAAACAGCAAAACCTATGCACAAGAAGGCATCAGCAGGCTTGAGGAGTTGCATTATTTAAAAAAAAATAATAATTCAGGAATTTAAGAAAATGAGGCAGGAACAGCCCAATGAAGAGTGAGCATGCTCAGAGGTCACAGAATGCTTGCTGACTATTGGTGGTGGGGCGGGCGGAGGAGAGAATGGAAAGCCCAGAAGAGGGGCCCTGAAGTGGCATATCTGGAAGCAGACCTGAAAACTCAACTGTATAGCATCTTATTGCAGATCATACTTTTCCTCTTACTTTTGTGTTGTTTTTCAGGTGTCTCCCAGGTCAACTCCTCCCCTGTATGGAAAGGTACGTGTGAAAATGTGACATTGATTCACATTATGGGCCATCAGCTTGCGGCAAGCCAAAGACTAAGAGTCATGTCTCCTGACAGAGTATGACTTACTGTATTTTTCTGTGTATAAGACAATGCTTTTTGCTTTTAAAAAAATTGCAAAAATTAGGTGTCGTCTTATACATGGATAGTGAATGCAGAGGGGAGACGTGCAATTAATAGCAGCAGCAAGCAGGAGATTAGCAGTGGCTATTGGGCGGGTGATTGGTGGCTGCGGCATGTCTGCTGGCGATTGGCTGCGGGAATTGGGCAGACGACTGGCGGCTGCAGCAAGTGGGCGGGTGGGCTGTTGGTGGTGGCGAGCGGGCACACGATTGGCGGCTGCGATGAGGTGTGCAATCGGCAGTGGCGGGCAGGTGGGTGAGCGATTGGCGGAAGTGACCTCCCCCACCCCCACCCCAAAAAGCTAAACAACTTAATTTCTTAATTTGGGGTTAAAAAAATAGGAGTCGTCTTATACATGGGGGCATCTTATACAGGGAAAAATATGGTATATAGAATGATTTCTCCCAGAATGCTGCTATGTAATGTAAACAGCACATAATGCATGTATGTTGCTGTCTTAAAGGAGCCATGCATCTCATTAGGAACACATTGATTTGCCTTCCACTGAGTCAGAGCATTGTGCACCTGGATTGGCTATGCTAACTGTCTTGCCTGCATTTCAGTCATGGTCTCTCCCACACCCACCTGGAGATGCTGGGATGGAGCTAGGGACTATCTGCATGCTGAGCAGATGCTTTATCTCTGAGCTCTGACCCTTCCCTGTGATGGTCCTTCCATGCTGGTTCAGTGGACCCTCAGTTCCCCACTGGGGCTTACTCTGGCCTCAGACAAAAAGCATGAAACAGCTTATAACACAGATATGGTTGTTTTTCTTCATTCAAGGCTGCAACAAGGATTGCAGGCCCCACTCTTCTCAAGGTCATCTTTCAAAGGCCACAGCTGCTCCAATGCCACCTCCTCTCAGGATAGTCTCTCCATCAACACTCATACCCTTTAATGGTTCTCCCATCTTCCTGTGTGACCCCAGGCTGGTGTTGTATCTCCAAAACCACGTTCCTTTCTCCCAAGTATCTACCCTTCTCTTAAGGTTGACCTCACAGTACATCTAAGCACACCCTAATCTGAACTGCAAGAAGACCTTGGTGCGCCTTTCCAACCCTTTACTTCCCCACTTGCCATTGTAGCTTATTGCCCAGCCTTAGAAGGAATGCTGAGCACATTTGAACACATGTGCCCCTTGCAAAAGGATCGCTGGAAATGCAGGACAAGGGATCTAACTAGGTTACGTTACACACAGTGCTGGATAAGGCAATTTGAATGGGCAATTGTCAGTTATGCCTTATTTTAAGGGACATTGCTAAATCTGAAATGATCCGAACATCCTAATCAATCCCTCTTATTCCAGCACATTATGCCAGACTGAATCAGATGACTGGTGCATCTAGAGCAGCACTGTTAGATCTTGACTGGAAAGCTGATATCGAAGCAGCTCTCAGCCAAAGGCCTTTCCGAATGCTGGCACCAGAACTATCCAAGACTGAACCTGTAGGAGCATGGATGAATAGCATGTACTTTACAATGGAGGGTCACTTGAGTCTAATATGTTCCACACAACCACTTGGGTTTTAAACTCCTTTAAACACTCAATTGCAAACTACAACCTAAGTATAGCTTGATCCTCATTCAGTTCGATCCTCGTTAATAGACAAACCCTCCTTCACTGATTATACTTCTCTTGTATAGTGTCTTCAGTGTCTTTTTGCCCCATGGTGGTCACCATGTCACTGTTTCTGTTTCTTGTATGCGCAGGGGAGATCATCCTTTTCCAGATTTAGCTGGGTAGGTGATGAACATGCTTTCATGTGCAGCCATTTTGCTTCACCCCAAAAGTGCAAATAGCATCTGTTTTGTTTTTTCCTGTTTTGCCTTCCTAGCTCCTGCAGACTCTTCACATTCATGTTTTTGACTGTGGCTTGTTTGCTTTGCTCCTCCTGGCTCCCAATCAGTTCCTTTATACCCATGGTTTCCTTGCTTGCTTTTATCCAGAAGCCTGTCAAGCTTGCAATACAATTTAAATTATTTTTGCCTGAGCACGGAGCCAAACTGCACTGCATGGCAAACCTCTTCCCTTTAAGGCAATTTAAAGGTTCTACTGATCTCTGTGTGTCTGTGGAGTGCCAGCGGGGAGGTAAAAAGAAAAGATAGCTTGAAATAATGAATTGGACACAACTCCATTTTTGTTTGGGATCATGAATATAGTCAAGAACAGATGCAGGGTATACATTTTGCATCCCATTATTTGATGCGAGTTACAATATCATTTACTGACACTTGTAGAATCAAAGAGTTGGAAGGGACCCAAGGGTCATCTAGCCCAACCCCCTGCAATGCAGGAATCTCAGCTAAAGCATCCATGACAGATAGCCATCCAACTTCTGTTTTAAAATCTCCAAGGAAGGAGGGTCCACTACCTATTGTGGGAGTCTGTTCCAGTTCCCCAGTAGTTATATTTTCAAAAAGAAAATGATGAGGAAGACATGATAATGTTCGTTCTTCACTGTAGGCGAAATTATATTCATTACCACTATGCAGAACACACTAGAATAGATAAACTATTAGACTGAGGAGTGGGAAAGGTGCCATTTTCATTCCCATCCTGGAGAGGGTTAGCTGAACAGGAGAGGGAAGGGAGCACTGTGTGTGTGTGTGTGTGTGTGTGTGTGTGTGTGAGAGAGAGAGAGAGAGAGAGAGAGAGATTATGTGTCATTAAATGCTTTGAATGCTTTGTATGTTAAGAGTGTGTAGTGTTTGTGTGTTAAGTTAAACCTCCAAGAGTTTTCCAACAAAGGTTATGCTGTCAAATACCAAAGAGCTTATTCTGCTAAAAAGTCTGCTGTCCTGAAAAGCTAATGTTCTTTAGCAGGAAGACCTCTTCATATAGTTCTCTCCCCCAATCCATCTGCTGTAAACTCATTTTGTTCCTTTAGACACCTGAGTTCAGAACAAAAGGTTTTACTTAGAATTAATTAGAAGCCACAATTATCAAACGCTACTAGAACTAGTTACGATTTTTGCTTTAAAATTACAAAATTATGTTATGCCAGGTTGCTTAGAAATGTTTCCATCACCCACTGGACATTTTGCTAAGCCAAAAAAGGTCATTACCGGCTGCTGTAAAGTTTTAGTGAAATGTTTGAATGGCCTAAGCTCTGACTAGGAGGTGGCAGGAAAGGTCTGGCAACCTCAGGAAGTGGCCAAGCGTGTGGAGGCACTGCGCTAGTCTTTTATCCTTTAAACTGGTTGCTGTGTACAAGACTAATTAGAACAGTTTACCATTTTCAAAAAAGACATGGCAGACTTGACTTGCATTGCAGTGTGTTTGCCGAGTTGTTTGCCCGACTTTGGATGTTGCACACCAATCCTGGCAGGGGAAAGCTTTTAAATGAAAGTACTGCTTTGCGGTTGCTGAGCAGAATGCTAGTTGAAAATTCCTCCTTGAACGACCAGTTTTCATCAGACAGTTGTGCAATTACTTTAACAAGCTTTCCTCATTTTTAACAATGCTTTTCCAAAAAAATGGACATCGGTAATGTGTAAGTACTTCCTTCACAATATACCTTCACCCTACCCCCACCCCATTAATATTCAGAGGGGGGGGACTTTTTAAAGGGCTAAATGCATGAAAGACGAAACACATTTCTTTTCATAGTACCTTCTTCCACATTTACTTGATGGCAGCTGTTATCACTTGACAGCCTGGCTGTGTTAAGCAGTTTACATCAGTTACCACATTATTAGTCATTAGGGATTATTATCACCTCAGGCAATTCCCAAACAATGTGCGCAAAAGACTGCAGTAAGATTCATTTAAATGCTAGCCAACATGTAAAAGATATTGGATTTGCCTTTAGCTTCCCGTATATACATTTTACTCCCTTCTAACTATCTATTTCATTGCCAGCAATTGAGATATTTTCTTTCATCACGGGTTATTTTGGGGAGAGCCCTATCCTACCTGTCTCTTATCCTTTCATGAGCTTAGCTAATGTAATAGCCTTCTGCTCCCAGTCTTCCTAAGCTATTGTAATATATGTCAATGACAAAACAAAGTACTGTATTTGCAATTTCCTTTTCTTTGCAGGGTGGTGAAACTCACAGGCCTGGATATGGAAGTGGAAGATTCTATGAGCATAAATATGCTCACAAGGGACACAAGGGATACCACTATGATGGCCAGGGCACACTGTCTAGACTCTTTAGACTGGTAAAGTAAAATATAATATATATACATATTTTTAAAAGAGTAGGTGCAAAATGTGAGAGGAAGGGAAAAACTAGGAACAGCTGATTATTGCATTCATTGGATATATAGTTTTACCATAGATTTATCATAGCAACTGTCCTGGAAATCAGGAACACTGCTTGTGAAAAAGAAGAATGGTAGGTTTGGAAGACCATCCAGTGTGGACTTCTGATAATAAATTCCAGCATTCTCTTTGCTGAGGCAAAGCTCTCAACTGTAACTTATCCACTTCAGTTATAACCCAGATGATGAGGCCTCCGAAGCCTAGAGCCAAGTGAGCAATAGAAACACCTGGTTAAGCTTTATGTTTCACCTAAGGAGGCATACAGAAGGGTGCCACATTATATCTGCTTTTCTTCTGCAAGAAATAGGGCATTGAGCATGTCTGCACCTAAGTTGTGCAACGCCTTGCTTGTAAATATTAAGTAACCACCATCAGTACTTTGTTTCAAATGCTTCCAAAAGAAGTCTCTCCTGTTACAGTTTACAGAGTAGTTTACCAATCAATACTTCTTCCCAGGGAATTCTCTGAGGGGGATAGTGGTCTCCTGACAACTCTCAACACCCTTGATAAACTACAGTTCCCAGGATTCTTTGGGAGAAGCCATGACAGTTTAAAGCTATAGTGCAGATGGGGCCTAAATTAGCTGAAATCAATGGGCCTTAAATTACATTATGGCTAACTCGTTCCATTGGTTTCACTGGAAACCAATTCAGCCACGTTCCCCTAACTTATAATAGATCCCACCCAATGGAACTGCTAGTGATATAAATTTGATTGGCATCAAGAGTCATAAAGATGAAGCACTCTGGCTAAACTGGATAAACTTCAGAGTTATTCAGATGAAAGAGAAAGTATACGATTCAATATGTGTGAGGTTAACTGCTCCGTTATGCTAACAGTTTGCATCAAAATAGGCCCACAGAACTATTTGTGGAAGAGTGTTACCTCTAGTCTAGACTTTCCTAGCTGTGTACTGCTAGGCTTGGTACCTCTATAACTGGTACAACTGGAGAGAGTGGTAGTCCCTGACACTGTAGTCTGGTGTATCTTGATCCAGTTGATCTAGTGTGATGCTTCAAGCTACATTGTTGCACTGCAAAAGCTTTTCAAGGTTCATTAGCACACAAGACAGTTGGATTTTCACCTGAAACATTTTCCTCATCAAGACAGAACAGGTTGCTTACCTGTAAATGTAGTTCTCTGGCAGAGGCTCTGTGTGACAACAGAGACCCTGTGGAGAATTTATATTGCATGATAATGAAGCAAATAGAGGAAGGAAGAACATAATGTTTTATACCTCTGAATGTAAACAGAAATTATTCTAAGGTTACAAGACATAAGGGGGAAATGTGTTTGTTGCAAGGTAAAGGTACCCCTGCCCGTACGGGCCAGTCGTGTCCGACTCTAGGGTTGTGCGCTCATCTCACTTAAGAGCCGGGAGCCAGCGCTGTCCGGAGACACTTCCAGGTCATGTGGCCAGCGTGACGAAGCTGCTCTGGCGAGCCGGCACCAGCGCAGCACACGGAAACGCCGTTTACCTTCCCGCTTATAAAGCGGTACCTATTTATCTACTTGCACTTAGGGGTGCTTTCGAACTGCTAGGTGGGCAGGAGCTGGGACCGAAAGACAGGAGCTCACCCTGCCGCGGGGATTCGAACCGCCGACCATACGATCGGCAAGTCCTAGGCACTGAGGTTTTACCCACAGCGCCACCCGCGTTTGTTGCAAAGAAAGTCATTTAATATGCATTGAGTTAAAGTGAGCCAGCAGTTATAGTAAAAAGTTAATGGCTTTTTTTCCCAATTGACCAACAGATCTTGCTATTTTGTGTGTTGGTAGAACTGCCCATCCCTATTCCTATTTATTACCACCCACTGGCTTATGTCCTTTTCTCTGTTTCCAGAATTAGCTATTATTGGTGAAATTTTCTTTTCATGCAACTTCTGTGTCCTGTGCAGATATATACAGTATTTATAAGTGCCAAGTTTTAATTTGTAAGCCATTGGACTTGACAATTAGGTTTATAAGCCATTAGAGTTGACCATTAGATTAGACCTTCATTCTCTCCTAGTAGATGTTATGATTTCACCCCATGTTTCCATAACCAGGAATTTCCCCTCATTTTAACCATCTGCAAAAATGGAAGTTTGTTATCCAATATGTAATAATTTGCTATAAAATGGTCCTCATTATTTATATGTTATCCAATATTTCTTTAAAGTGTGGCTCCTTAAAACAGATCTAATTAAAGGCAGGTTTCTGTGGGAAGTAATGGATTTAAAATGTCTGCAATAAAACAGAAATAAGTGCTTAATAGGGCATAATTAATTGTCAATTAAATATAATTACAATGCTCCAACTATTTTGATTGATGAAACTAAGCAATGATGTGGCTCAGTAGCAGTTGCAATTACAAACGATCAGGGAAATATTGCTGGCTTTATAATCAAAAAGTAATAATAGAACCACCATTAGAAAGCACTAAAAACCATCTAGCAAAATCCTACGAGGAATGACAAACATGTGTTGGGAAAACGGTGAGAGGAGGTCTAACAGTAGACCTGGGGTACTCTGAAGAAAGCATCATTATTACTAGAGATTCTGAAGTCCAACAACCTGGTGCCTGGAGGATCCTAAAGAGGTCCATGGAGGTTATAACTATCTCACTATAAATCCCTGATCTTCTGCCTTGTGTTTGCTGATTTAGTAGAACCTTCAGAAAAATGAACGTGGGGTTCTTTGGATCTGCTAACCTTAAATATCCCAGATCAAAACAAAATGAATGGCATAGTCAAATTTGCTTTGCAGGCTTCCTTGGCCATGTAGTTGTGCAGCTCATTGGTGCTGCCCAAGTGCCTGGTATGGGTGGCGGAGCTTTTTTTCCCCCCAGCACGAAAATGATGACAAGGACGGAGCCATGTGGTTCTCTCTGGGGAGAGCATGCCATAAGCTGGAAGGGCAGAGCTCAATGAAACTGCCAGCCCAATGTAGCTTTGTTTAGTTTCAGTGGCCTTGGTTTCTCTGACCTATCCAGCAACACTGATAGCAACCAATTCTTTAGAGATAATTAATATTTAGTGACTAGAGCCCATTAATCGAGGAATTTGTTACAGAAGGATAGTATCAAGTTTTGTTACCTGAAATTTAATTAGAATGAACTCATCATACTTTAAAATTTGATTGTAAAAATAGAATTCCCCGAAGGCAAACTATATTTGAAATTGCAACACTTTCAAAGATCAAAGTAGTAAAGAAACCTTGAACAAAATCAAATAAGCATATGTACCCTCCATTTCAGCAGCTATGCGTGAGAGATTTCCCTGCGGTTGGTGGAACCAATCTGTACTAATTTGTACCAGAGTCTGGATGGAATTGCGTTTAGCACTCTTATACTGTAGATCTGAGCAGTAGATTCATTTTAATCCTATTCTTTGTTGTTGTTTTTCTTTCCAAAGGGAGGATCTGGTTCCCGACCTGGCTCCCGGTCTGGCTCTCCCATTGCTAGGCGCTGAAGCTCTCCGATGTTACCAAAGGGCTACACTCTCTGCTTTATAACATAGATGCCTTGAAGGTTTAATAACAAACTGCAGAATTCCCTAGATAGAAACACAATCTATTTGTTAATGTCACTGAGTTGTGCATGCAGTAGAAGTACACAAAAATTTATTGGCAAATGCTGACCAAGAACAAATGCAAAACAAAACAAACTCCCAAATTTTCAAAGTAGCTTTTACTTGCTGTCAACAGCATTACTTTAGGGAAAGTAACAGTCCCCCCCATATTATTCATTCATCTTCAAGGTGTTTCCAAAGAATATAGGGCTTTAATTTTTTTAAGCACATACAACATTAAGTCCCTTTCAGATTTCTTTTTCACTAAACTTTAAGTAACAACATACTACACAATTGTCTACCTTAACCTTGCCATTAACAGACTTTTGAGATCTCTGCTGTAAACAAAGAAAATAATAATAATAAAAATGTGCAGAAGTTGTAAGGACTGTTTATCCAATTTTTTTTAATTATTTGGTTTTGATTTATTATGATTTCATTTTTTCAGTACCCCTTTCTCTCACAGTTTGTATTTGATTTTTTCTAACTGGATTAGGCAGTCACAGAAAGGTATCTTCTACTGGGAGTTCAAGGTATGTTGCAATGTGGGAGAAGGCAGTTGTTACTGTATCAATGAGATTGAGCTATGGCCATAAGGAATGATGCACCTTCTAGTGCATGACCAATTGCTCATCACACCCAACACATTAGAAATTAAGAGTGGCTGGGAGAGAGAAAAGAGGATCTCAAACTTGAATTAGACTAGTTACAACAGAAAATGAGGGGTCATTCCAACAAAGGAAAACATAGAGTTGGACATATGAATGTCCCTGCAGCTCTACACAGGCACTTGCTGCAACTAAGTCCGTTTGCAGCTACAATAAAAAAAGAGTCTAATTTCTAAATAACAGAAAGCCCTTTGGTGAGGAAGTTTCAGATAGTATCTGCACATCTAAAGTTAGCATTCCTAGCTGTCGTGTTAGTGCAGCAGAGTTAAACATGCAGTGCACCAGAGCAAACTACACTGTTAGATTGTAGGTATTAAAACTAATGAGCTAGAAATAGGTGCTAATTGTTGACACGTATACTAAGGAATAAACATGTGGAAATGGGTCTACCCATCTACGTGAAGAAAAATGCTCTTCTGAATTGCACTGTTTTATAATATTCAACTTATTCTGTCTCTAAATGACCTTCCTGTACTCATGCAATGTTTTATTTGAGCTTATATGTTGTAGACACTATATTAAAGACTAAGTTGGCACCTGCCTTTAGCTAATGAACATCAGGAGTTACCGACGTTAATGCCAACTGACATATAGTGGATGTTGTTGTTGTTCTTGTTGTTAGCGATAGGTCACTCTAATCTACCATAGGTTTCAAGCAACATTCTTAATATGCAGCAATGAAAGATGAGAGGGTAGAAACACACAGAAACAAACGAAACAGAATACCAAAATTGTTAAGCACACGCAAACACATTACATCTTCTTTCAAAATGTTGTTGGCTATGTGTATTTTTCTATGTGTAGCCTCATCCAGTTGTGTATTCCACAACATAATAGTGAGTTTCACTTAAGTGTATTGTTCTTAAATGTGTATGAATACAACTCCTGAAAAAAAACAACCACCAATATTGAAATAAAATACTCAACTTTTAATGAAATTTGGAGGATTTAATTTTTTTAAGCGTTTAGGACTTTAAGGTCAATCACACAAGCCAATAAACTAGACAGACAAACTGCTCCAAAGCTACACACAAGCATACACTATGTCTGATTGTGATGCTTAATCTTTTAGAACATTCTGCCAAGTGTTTGAAGGGAAATGAAAGATCCACATTTCACCAAATGATTTTCTTCCTGTCTTTGCTTCCTGTGGATTTATTATTTTTTATCTATATTTTTGCATCTCTTCAAAAGAAAATTTTCAATCCTGCACACAGTTCTTTCAAAGTAAAGATATTTTAAATGCAAAGCATGTAGAGTCAAGTAATATGTTTAGGACTGGATTGTACATTCCGTACACTCCATTAAGTCAAAGCCATCAAATGAAACATGGTAAACAACGTTTGTCAGTATATGTCAGTATAAGCCACTTGTATCGTCATTTCCTTCCAGAGTCTGGGGTTTTTAACAAAGTGCTCAAACTCAGGCAAAAAGGAAAAAAGTCCTGCCTCCCTCTGAAAAGTCCAGGACTACAATTCAAAAAAATGTCAAGAGGAAAGCTCTAATCAGTTCTTGCCTTCTATTCACAATGGACCTCCTATAGCTCCTGAAGCCCACTTGGCCTGCAACATGGCCTAGTTCTCACTTAAGTGATAAAACCAGTGTGAATTACCGGTATAACACTGCAGACTGCAGGTGGAGGCTTACATAACTGAATGCTATTCCACACGAAAAAACACAATTCACATGGGGAAAAAGAAGTTAGGGAGAATTGCTCTTTTCTTGCCTTCTCCCTGACATGCTCATTTTTCATGTGGAAAGGAGGTTGTTGTTGTTTTTGTATACACTATTCAGTTAAACGAGCCCCACAGCTACCAAGAGACTTTTTTCTTTATTTATATCCCACCCTTTCCCCAAGGAGTTCAAGGTGGTTACAAGGTTCTCCCCAACCTATTTTTCATCACAACCATCCACTGAGGTAGAATAGGCTGAGTCACCCAAGGTCACCCAATGAACACTTCATGACTGAGTGGGGATTTGAATACTGGTCTCCAGCATTCTTACCAATATGCCGCACAACACTCATAAAATGTGTGCCTGGGTGAAAACTAGATGACCAACTCATTGGTTTTCACTTGCTTACTTGGCCTCTAATTGGTTTAATCTGATTTTTCTCTTCACAGGTTAATTGTGCACACTCTCAGTCATCTCAACACTTCCTGCTTCCTACAAACTTTCTGTCACACATTCACTCAATGAAATCCAGCACAGGGCTGGGGCATGAACCTAGGCCCCTTAACCATACTTAGAGAGTATACCTGTGCAGAAACTAAAACAATGTGAGATGCTTAATGCCTCTCAGAATGTCCTGTCATTGGGCAACAACTTTGAACCCTATCAAGCGGGAATCCATATGGACCAAGTGGTATAGGTGCTGTAATCTAAGGAACTTGACAAATATACTTCCCATATTATTCTTCATGTCTGCTCACAGTAGTACATTATACTATTTGTGGACACTGTTTTTCTTAAAGGGCATTGAATTCTACAAGCACACATCTTTCCCAAGGACTATAAGCGTCGTCCTTCTCATGGTGTGAATTCAATTAAAAGGCATTCAAGTGTGGAAACATGATAACAGTGCACAAAGAAATCAAGATAACATCCTTTCTTTCACTGAAATGGTACAAAATGAGATAAATAGTGGCTAAGATCTTTGGGAGAGAAATTGGGCATGTTGGAGAGAGTGTATAGCCACCAAAAGCAGACCTTTAATGGGTGTAAAAGATATCAACCAGACATCACTATGTGGTACTGCTGCTCTGGAAGTTGGGAGAGTTAACTCCAGAGATGAATAAGGATTTACTGTGAAATGTGTTCTGCAGCAAAAGCATATAACAGTCCTGTGGGACCAGGGCCAAAGCCCATCTAGTCCATCATTTTGTTCTCACAGATTGATTCTTCTTCAAAATTAACCAAAAAAACCCTCTTTTTTGGGGGGGGGCGGTTTCCAATATGATTTAAAGTCCCAGAAGCCTGGAAAGTAACTAAAATAAAACTTACAGAGTTCACTTGAGCATTAAAATTTGTTTCTGAGGTGTTCAAAACTACAAGAAGTGTAAATCTATGCTGTACACTGAAGAATGCTTAGGAAATAGCCTCACTATTTTATTCTGAGGTGGAAGAAAAGCATTGGCGGCCCAAACTCAAAGAATTAAACACCAATAAAGCAAAATAATGCATTAAAACAAAACCTGAAACACAACCAGGATCTGGCATTGTCCTGAACTCAGGTCCCAATCTGTGTCACTGAGCATCATACACCAGTCCTTTTAACCCCACTGAAAATTATCTATGAGTACTATAATCTATGAGTACTATAAAAATTCTACATTCATGAAATAAGTTATTTTTGTTGTTACATCTCACACTTACTCCTACAAGGGTGGCTGGCTAGCTAACATCGTCGTCATCATCGTCGTTAATAATAAAAGAATTAACATATTTTTTTCAAAAAAAAAATTAATTGAAACACGGTGGCAAATTATAAAAGTTCAATTCTTAAATGCCAATGCGATCATGTACCCAATGCCTGGCAAAATATAGGCATTCTTCATTTATGCCATAATGTTATGTACATGGGGAACAACCAGATTTCTCGAAGGAGGGAGGTTCCACATATGGGGGGGCTGCCACCAAGAAGGCCCAGCCCTGTGCCTCAGCCCCACATGCCACGTCCTTCGACTGCACCAAAAAAAGCTTTCTAGTTGGCAAGAAACCTTCCCAAATGGTGCAAGATGTGGCACAGGATATTGCAAATTGAGCCTGCCCTTTGTATGAGTGGAGGGTACTTCCTCTCATGCAAGAAGCCTTTTATATCCAAGGTATCACTGTCCAAATCCAGATCAGAAAAGAGAAAAGATTTCGTGACCTCCCATTACCAGGAAGCGGTTTTATAACTTTAAAAAGCAGAAGAGGCCACTAGGACATTTTTCTTATTTCTGCCTTGACATTTTTAGAGCTTTGTGGGGGCGGAGGTGAAATATTAAAGTACTTATTGTATAAGACTGACAGAAAAACGCCACAAACAAACCTCCACAGAGGCTTTAAAAGCTGTTTACTGGGGCAGGGGCATACAAAGAATCTTCAGGGTGGAATATAAAGTTTCTTTACTGACTTAACAGGAGTTTTCCCAGCAGTCTGCATTTTCAGAGAAGAGCTTTAGCAGATGAAGTACCATTAGAAGTTTAGGAGCAGATGCTATCCTCTCAAGAGGAAACATGCAGAGGTTACTCAGAGATGAAGGAGAAGAGGGTTAGCTGAAAAACACGCATACTCATAGCTGTAAAACGTTCTTTACTATTTATTGAGCTCAACAGTATGTGAAGAAGCAATTTCAACTGCTCTCTTGGTAGTAACAAAGTTTGGGGCTCAAGTGTGCTTCAAATCATATAGCTGAGGAAGGAGCGCTGTCGTTTTTCAGCATACTACCCTTATAAAGATTGACAATCCTAGTCATCTTAAAACTCAGAGGATTTCTCTTAATCAGGCTGGAGTTTGGCATGGAGATCTTCCTGGAAAGAGGCGCAACCTGAAAGCTCCCAAATGAATAAGTTAAATAGCACCAATGTGGATGTCCCTGTAGTTGTGAACATTCGTTCTGCTCACCCAAAACTTGCCTTCTGAAAAATGCAAGATTATTGCAGATTTCTTTCTTTCTTTCCCCATTTTAATGAACCATTCAACAAATAGCAAGCTATTCCGCACACGACTGGAAGCTTTCTAACGGGAGCGTATTTCCTAAAAGAAAAATGGTAGATGAAACAGGCTGAAAGCAGTAGAAGCCAGAAAATGGGAACA